TCTACACCCTGTTTACCGCAAAAGCACCCACCAGAAACCCCACGATGTCCTAAGCCCTTCACCCTGCATCTGCTTGGGGCCGCAAGGAGTCCTTAGCAAGAAATCCGATCAAACCCCCAAACCGGGGTTTAGGGCTTCGGCTTCAGGTACAACCCTAGACCCTATGTGATGAAAACCCTAAACCCTCAACTTCTAAACCCGAAACGCCATGATATAGGAGCCTAAATAGCTACCAACAATCGCCGCACGCCTCTGTGCATTTAAAGAAACAATACCCACTCCAAATTCTCCACACCCGACCTTGAAGTTCGTGGCGATGAAGCTGACCAGCGTCGTCGCTTTGGACTCATCCGGCCTTGCGGTAAGGTTTAGGGTTTAGGATTTGGGGTTTAGGGTTTAGGGTTTATGATTTAGGGCTTGGGGCTGAAGTTCTCGGACTTCAGGTTTAGGGTTTAGGGCTCCGGGTGGAAGTACCTCCCAGAAAAAACACGTGAATCTCCTCACTAAATACTGTCTATCACTGGATCACTATGGCATATTTGCAAAAAAAGCAATTACGGGAACATGTACTATGGGGGGAGGGCAGCACTAGAGGAGGAGACAAGGGTTTTGAGTCAGGGTTTAGGGTTGAGGGTTTAGGGTTTAGGGTTTCGGGTTTCGGGTTTCGGGTTTCGGGTTTAGGGTTTAGGGTTTAGGGTTTAGGGTTTAGGGCTTTAGATCGCAGGGCTCCAAGATTCAACAGGCCTAGCCACTTCCTGCCCAACATTATCCCCAAACCCTCCACATGTCACAATCCCTAAACCCTGCTAAAGCTTGGGGACGAGCCAGGACCATGTCGGAACAGTTGCGGAGACACCTTCAAGACATGTGGAGCCCGAGGCCCTGAATCCTACGCGTCCCCAACTGCCCATAATGGGGGGTGCGGGGCCCTCTGAATCGCAGCTACTAAAGGAAAAATGAAGGGTAGTTGGGGGGTGCCAAAGCCCTGCCCTGGCGGTTTCAAATCCTAAACCCTGAACTTCAAAACAAGTCCCTGAGCCCTGAACCGCAAAATCGTGAATTCCTAGATTCCAAAACCCTGAACCTAGAAAACAAAAACAACTCCAAGGCGCTTCGTGCCCGAGCTGAACGTGACGCCGTAAACATTGTCTTCATTCACCTGCAAACGGAAAGCAAGATTGGGGTTTACGAGTTAGGGCTCATAACTTACATCCGTCTGCTGGAACACATGCTCTTGCAGGATCACACATGAGCAGCCAGAATACACATCAAGACATGCTAAACCGCAAGTGGATGCTTCACCTCCCCCTCAATGCATGAAGCTCAAAACTCACGACACCTGACGTTGATGCTTTCGGCCTGTGCTTCTGCTAACCAAAACGCTAGCCAATAAAACAACCGATAAATCAAATCTTCTGGACAAAAACCTACTGCTAACCAAAACGCAGGCCCCACGACCGGCACTCGTCCAATGATAATAGAATAGTAGCAATGACAGAAATACTTGAAACCGTGAGACAAAATAATGGTATAGTGATAAAAGCAACAGCAATAATGATAAGAACAATTAATAACAACAATCGCCATATTGGAGACAAATTCATGTACTCGCACTTCCCCACCCTTGCCTCCACCCCCCCCCCCCCCCCGAAAGCCCAAGAAAAACTGGTACCATATCATCTGCAGGAAACGCACCAAGCTAAACGTGCCATGGATCTACGGGTTTTGGGCTTGGGCATATTAGAGTTTCAGGATCGGCCCGGCCATGATCTGCAACTGCCGCGCCCGCCTCGAATCTTGAGCAGCCAACGTCACCTCTCTGTTGACCTTTGTGGGACAGTTCCACTCCCCAAACTTCCCTACGTAGGAAGATTCCCGTAGGAAGAAACCTCTCCAGGTTTCATTAAAATAGGAGTAGCTTCAAGCACGAACCTGCACAAGCGTGAGCTCCAAACCTGACAAGCAGCCCCGATATCCCAAAATCCGAAACCATTGGGCTGTAGGGCTATTGCGTTTGGGGGCTCAGGGCTGCGAAGCTACGGAAACCCTGCAACTTAAGCGGCAGAGCATATACGCCACCTCGGACCAACTCAGCTTGAATTCTGGCGACGCATCCAACCTCTCAGCAAGCCGAGGCCCCATTGGGTTTGGGGTTCATAGGGTCTAGGGTTGAGTGTTTAGGGTTTAGGGTTTAGGGTTTAGGGTTTAGGGTTTAGGGTTTAGGGTTTAGGGTTTAGGGTTTAGGGTTTAGGGTTTAGGGTTTGGGGTTTAGGGTTTAGGGTTTAGGGTTTAGGGTTTAGGGTTTAGGGTTTCGGTTTAGGGTTTTGGGTTTTGGGGGTTTTTTGGGTTTGGGTTTTGGGTTTGGGTTTAGGGTTTAGGGGGTTTAGGGTTTAGGGTTTAGAGTTTAGGGTTTAGGGTTTAGGGTTGAGGGTTGAGGGTTCAGGGTTCAGGGTTCAGGGTTCAGGGTTCAGGGTTCAGGGTTCAGGGTTCAGGGTTCAGGGTTCAGGGTTCAGGGTTCAGGGTCTAGGGTTTGGTTTAGGGTTTAGAGTTTAGGGTTTAGGGTATTCACAATCAGTTGGAGGTAAATTAGGATGTAAGAATTTCTAGCCCAGACCTTTGGCCAGCAACGAAACGCATTGTTTTGGAGCAATTTTTTGCCCCAAGCCTTTGGCTGGCCACGAGCACTCGGGGGTCTGTTTTTCTAAGTCCCCCCTGCAGGGGGGCTTAGGGGCCTAACCCCCTCCTCGGGTATCCCCGAGAAACGCACTGTTTTGGCATAGTTTTGACCCCAGACCTTTGGCCAGCCACGAAACGCCCTGTTTTGGAGTAATTTTTGGCCTGGAGGGTGGCTTAGGGGGGCTCACCCCCTCCTGCAACACCCCGCCCGAAGAAAAGCCGCGCGCAAAGAAACGCGCTGTTTTTCCAGGGAGACTCTGAAGTTGGACACTCCAGAGACTCTGCGGCTGGGCACTCCAGGAAATCTCTGGGGTTGGGCACTCCAGGGACACTCTAGAGTTGGGCGCTCCAGGGACACTTTGGGGTCGGGCACTCCACGGATTCGCGAGTAGACGACGGGGCGAGGAGAAAGAGTTCCGGGCCAGGAGAAGAGTTGAGTTTAAAATCTAACAACCCGAGGGTGGGGAATAACAATACCAAAAAACAACAACAAGAATAATAATGATATTAATAATCATAAATAATAAAAGGAAGAAGAACAATAATAATGATACTATTAGCAATAATAATAATAATAATAGTAGAAGTAATAATAGCAATAATATTGTTAATAATAATAAGAATAATAATAATGATAAGAATAGTAATAATTAAAAATCAAAGATGAAAAAAAAACTAATAAGAATAAGAATAAGAATAAGAATAAGAATAAGAATAAGAATAAGAATAAGAATAAGAATAAGAATAAGAATAAGAATAAGAATAAGAATAAGAATAAACAGAGTAACAATAATAATATATTGAAAATAATGATAATATAATAATAATAGTAATAATAGTAACAATAGTAATAATAGTAATAACAGTAATAATAGTAATAATAGTAATAATAGTGGTAATAGTAATAACAGTAACAATAGTAACAATAGTAACAATAGTAGTAATAATAGTAATAATAGTAATAATAGTAATAATAGTAATAATAGTAATAGTAATAATAGTAATAATAGCAATAATAGCAATAATAGTAATAATAGTAATAATAGTAATAATAGTAATAATAGTAATCATAAAAAATAAAAATGAAAAAACTAATAAGAATAAGAATAAGAATAAAAAGAGTAACAATAATAATGACAATAATAATAATAATAATAATAACAATAACAATAACACTAAAAATAAAATGGCAAGAAGTCACGCCAAGGAGCTGGAAAGGGTCGATGTTGATGGCCAGCTTCGGGAGGAAGTAGTAGCGGCTCTTCGAGAGGTCCTCGCCCCCGGCTTTCGGCTTCGGGTTTCGGGTTCAGGGTTTTTGGGGTTTAGGATTTAGGGTTTAGGGTTTAGGGTTTAGGGTTTAGGGTTAGGGTTTCGGGTGTAGGGTGGGTTTAGGATTTGGGGTTTAGGGTTTGGGGTTTAGGATTTAGGGTTCAGGGTTCAGGGCTTAGGGTTCAGTGGTTAGGGCTTATGGTTTAGGGTTCAGGGCTCAGGGTTTAAGGTTCAGGGCTTAAGGCGTGAGTTGGGAGAATTCTAGAATTGAAGTCCCCTTGACCCTCTCTCATATGGCCACACAACCTTATGCCCTAAAACCCTAACCCTACTAGCATTTCTGAATTAGGAGGTGTTATGGGATCTTCTATACCATCCGAAGTAGAGTAGAAGCTGATGACCCTTTTTTAGGGCTTGGGAGTATAGGGTTTTGGGGCTTTGGGAGTTTAGCATTTTGTGGTTTGGGGGTTTAGGGGTTCGGGGGGTGTCGGGTTGAACCCCCCTTTCGGGTTTGGGGTCTAGGGTCCCTAAACCCTAAAAAAAACCTAAACCCTAAACCCTAAACCCCCACCCTCCTTGACCTTTGACTGGAGCAGGCGTGTGGAACTCTCCCGGCCACGGGAGGCTTCGCCGCGGGAGCTGGATTTTGACGTCTCGGCAGTCCAGGCTTAGGGGTTTACCCTAAACCCTTCACCCTTGAACCCGAAACCCCTAAACCCTAGAGTTTAGGGTTTAGGGTTTTTGGTTTGGGGTCTGGGGTCTGGGGTTTGGGCTTTGGGGGTTTTCAGCTTTAAGGTTCAGGTCCATTTGAGGGGGTCCTTGTTGAGAAGGACTCCAGTTGATAAACGGTGCCGATAAGAAGGGGCGGCCATAATTCAGCCTATTGGGAACAGCCTCCCCCACTTTATCTTACGGCGTACAACATGTGAACGTGCGCTTCGTACGCTCCATTGGGCTTGTAGGGTTTAATCGCCGCATGGCCAAACTGGAACCAGGAGCAAGCTGGGAACTGCGACTGCACCATGAGACATCTACCAGTCAATCGTCTCAAAACC